CTTCCCTTAAACAAACTTATCTCTACATATCTTCTCTACATATAATTAAACAAAGAGTTTTGTCTGTGTGTGTGTGTGTGTGTGTCTTTCGTTCGCGTTGCGCGTAAGCTAATAGACCCACGGCTACGAAATTTGGTACATAGGTGCATCTAGACAAAAGCCAGTGCATCTGGAAGCGATTTTTTCGAAATTCGAATTAGAATTTTTTTTATTTTATGTTTTGTGACGAAATCGCGTCATTTTGAGACATAATGGGCTATAGGAAAGCGAGATTTTACTCTACACACTCCATTTTCACATCGTCATGAAACGTAGGCACTTAGCTATTTTACGAACTTGAAATAAATTTCGTGTTTCAATAAATCGATTCCATACGAATTTATTTAACAAAGGGAGCTTAACACCTTTTCAACAGGATTTTTTCTAAAAAAGTTTATTTTTAAAAATGTTCAGTTCATTTTTCTTTGATTTTTGGACACGTTAAACTTTCATCCTTGCCACTGCTTTTACAAGAAGAATTTTGAAAAAAATGATAATATTTTGTATTTAAAAAAAAATTAAATAAAGCTTCCGAGTACACTTCTCACATCTCACATCTTTAAAATGATTTTGGCAACAATTTTTCATCGTATTTCTTATGTCAACTGTTTTTAAGAGTTGGCATATTTCATTGTCATTTTTATATATATAATACATTTTTATTTATTTATTTATTTATTTTATTTTTATTTTATTTTTTTTTTTAAAAGTTGTTCTGCAGAGTAAAATTCTGCGCAGAATTTTTTGTTTGAGTTTCTTCCATGTTATTTTTTCTTATTTCACTATTTGTAGATATTGAAAAGTTTTGCTGATTTTTTTTCTTCAACGGAAAGTTGGTTAATTTTTTTTTACGATAATTAATATTTGTATTAAGGGATATAGCTTATTTCATTGTAATTTTTTCTCTTGAAATAAGATAAAATATCATTAACTTTTTTTTTTTTTTTTTTTTGCATTCTTTATGTTATTTATTGCTCATTTCACACCCGTTTTTGAGATATTTAAAAGTTTTGAGTGATTTTTTTAGGAAACGAAGTTTCCTTTATACCATTTGAGTTCTTAAGATTTTGCAAAGGGAATTGGTTATTTTATATTAGGATAATTAATATTGTATTAAGGGATATTGCTTATTTCAATGTAATTTTGTTACGTAATAACTGTTTTTGTGAAGTTATTCTGCAGAGTAAAATTCTACGCAGTTTTTAAATTTAACGTTTGGTGTTCCCTTCAGCCATTTTTTCGGTACATTTAAAAGCCAGACGAAGGCTGGTAGCGAAGCTGCTAGTAAATACTAAATATTTCTAAAATGGAGATGAAATACCATTCATACAAAACATAATAGGAATGATTCATGACTTACGTCATGTACTGAAAATTTTTATCACTTTGAATGAGTGTACTGATAAGGCTAAATAAAACGAAGTCCAGGTTTTTTTCCAGTATGATAATTTCGAAACTGTTAAAAACGTGCTAAAGTTCTCTGCAGGTAATAGTTGCTTTCAATAGAAGATTGGATTGTTAGCAAGGATTTCTGGTAAGTCACTCAAAACCTCACATAATTTCTTTCTTTATTTGAAACCATTAATGATTTTCAAACATTCTGCAGCGTGACATAATATTTTGCATTCTATTCGCCCAAAAGAGACGTTAGTCCCGAATGGGATATCAGTCTCGAAACGGCATTTCTGCGTCGAAACGTTTAAATGCGTTGTATCACTTTTCAAATTGTTGCCGCCAAATATTATCGCCCTGTAAATATATCTTAAAAAAGTTAAATAATGAAGAATCTGCATGTTTCTCGCATTGTAAAAAAACAATACAATGTAAAAAAAAAAAAAAAAAAAACAGGACAATTTGATGGCGGTACCCAGAGCCATCAAATTTTGAATAATGTAATCCTCCACACGAACATGGACACCTGGAAGGCCGAATTTTGAATTTAAAATTTCTTTTATTTTCTAAAACTTTAACGAATTTTTGACTAACAAACTCAACGATATCAAAGCGATCAGGGGCAATACTGTACGGGAAAAGTAAAAAAAAAAAAAAAAAATTATCTCCAGCGTGCGAGATTGTCTATTGGAAATTCTAAAGATAAGCCGTTTTTAAATATTTTCAGATTTCGCTGTTGATTCGAATTTTATGTGGTGTAAGCGTCAAGAACGTGATATTTAATAAATAAATTAAACACACAAATACGTTAAAAATAAAAAGACAAAAAAAAATTTTAAAGCCATTTTAGTAAAAAAATTGAACACTGATATCATGAACTGAGAAAAGATTGAAAACACAGAAGAATGTATGCCATCACTTTATGCTCCATCGGGAATTCTAAACGTATGCTGCTTTTAAAATTTTTGTAATTTTGCTGTTGAGCTGTATATGGCGTAAGTGCGAAGAAAATGATGTTGATTTATCTTTTGTTGTTTTATTCTACAAATAAACCTGAAAAAAAAATTTATTTTTATTTTTTTAAATTTATCCTTTTTACTTCCTTGTACGAAGGAAAAAGGAAGTATTGTAATCGCGAAAATTTTCAGGCAGCATATTTCAAGGAAAATATCCACTTTGACCGCTATCGAATGCAATTTAACGATGTTTTTGCGTGACATCGTTACGTAAGAGCAGAATGAAAGACTCTTTTCCTCCAAAAAATTATAAAACTGCTTTAAAATGAATTCTGAAGAAAATTTTTCGTGGTGTCTGTACGTACGTATATATGTATCTTGCATAACTCAAAAACGAGTAGCCTCAGAACGTTGAAATTTTGTGTATAGGACTGCTGTAACATGTAGATGTGCACCTCGTATTTTGGTTGCAATTGGCCGCCCCAAACGTATATTATATCCACTTTGTTACCCGGGTCAGTTTCTTTGCTCTTATTACGTTTGTAAATTGGGATTTTTTGCTTTAAAAAGATTGGACTATGTTGTTCTTATCTTCCGGTTAAGGTTTTATGCCTTTAGGAAATCTTCAAGCAGTATTTGTAGAATTACAACAATTTAAAAGTTGTTATGCGGTTAGCCTGATTTAAATAACATGGGCGGACATTTGTTTATTTGAAACAGCAGACTAGTGGATTTGTTGCCAATCAGAGAAACTCAGCTTCGCAACAAAGATAACGCCTTCTTTATTATTGCCAATTAAATCATGCTTAATCCTTGTGGAATTTTTTCGAGGAAGGATTTTTAAGATTTACTTCGTAATTTTAATAGGATATTTTGAGTTTTAGTATTTTTGCCTTGTCGCGAAGTTAGAACTGAATTAATTGAACGAGAAATACTGAATCGTCTGTGAAAACTGTTTCTTTTTTTTTTTTTTTTGCTTAATTTCTTTTATACATCGTTCTAGATTTATTAATTTGAATAGAACATTGTGGCATCAAATGATATAAATTTTGTGCATTCTGAGTTATAATATAACAAATAACGATGTTAAGTGAACCTAGTGCCGAGGTCGCTATAATAGAAAAATATAGTGTTTTTTAAAGGCATTTTTTATTGTGGGTTTAGCGCGATCGACGAAGTAGATTTAATTCGATCCATAAGTTTAAATGAAAGGCAAGAAAAATGCGTATAATTTAATTTTTCGTACAAGGAAGTCATGTGGTGTATACATCAGATTTTGTAAGTTATTAAGAGAGAAAATTAGGTCTAGGGTGTATGTTCTGCACTAACACAGATACAATATAGGAAAATCTGAATGAATTAAAACAGGTTTAAAATTTGCTGTTTCTTTTTCAAAAGAATAAACTGTCACTGTCACTAGATTGCAATTTTGTATATTTGCAGCAAGTTACCATGGTGTTTTTCAGTCAAGTTTTCATCTACAGTTATGAAAATTTAACTTTTATTCATGTGATATTTTACACTGAAAGTATGCTATTTCTAATTCAAGAAGTATTGTTAATAGTAAGTAAATACTGATAGTAATAATAAGTAAATAATTATAAGTAGATTAATTTTAACTTCATTCGGATTGCGGGTATGTTGAAATATTCGATTATATACTGAAACTGATTTGAACTGAAGTGAAATTGTAGTACAGTTAATTTAGAACTTAGTAAATGAAACTTTTTAAGGTATAAATCTAATAATCGTATGAGATTTAAACCTTAAAATGCACTGCGTTTCATTTTTCAGAGAAAATTAAATTTTATTCTCAGTTATATATTTCATTAAAATCAGAAGACATGAATTAAAGGTTTTGCATGATATGGAAAATAAACCCATAGAAAAGTCTATATTATGAATCAAATTTACGTTATATAAAAACAAAAAGCGTTTTAATTATGCCTAATTAAGCTTAAAGAGCATAGCACGCCATTATTTTCTTATTAAATTTATTGAGACGTGACTAAAGTTTCATTCAGTAAAGATTTTCCTCATTCCATTTGAATATCAGAATTTACAGGACTATCATGTTCTCATTACTCGCTAATAAATCTTTCTTTTTAGCTACTCCATTCTACATTCCATGCTCTTTTCGCACTTTATGAAATGTCAATTAATAACGGTTCTTGAAATGAAAACTCAGAATAAACAAAACCATTTTGGTAAATATCAACAATTTTATTTAAACTTTAAAAGTGATAATAATACTAGCTACTCTCTTACAAAATATATTACTTATATGCCCCAAAAATCTTTAGAATATCATTCTGATGTTACCATTCCGAAAAAGCACAACTCTTTTTCTTTTATTCATAATTCACGAACTTTATACATTCTAATTCAATATTGCCTCTAAATCGATTAAAGCACGTATCTGTAAATAATTCACAACTAAAAATGTCTTCAAAAATGGACCTAGGGAATAATATGCTTGCACCATTTGACTAAAGGGATATTGTAGGAATTATATAATGAAAAATCAATATCATATCATTATCATCTAAAAACGTGCGCCAGATAAACGTGAAATAGGTTTTGTTTTCCTGCATTCAAATAAAAATAACCAGGAAATCGGAAAAGCGGTGTCATAGAATACAGTTTCAGCAATAATTTTTTTAAATGTCAGCTGATTCTCTAAGAAACATTTTATTGGAAAAATAATCAATTTAAAAGACCTTGCCTATCACGAATGCTTTTGTTCTTTTACACATCTGAAGATACATCTAGTTGCTGAACTTACTTTATGTTGACGTTATTAAAAGAACTGTGTCCTTCTAAATATTAACACAAGCTATCATATTCTTCGAAACACCTGAATTTTTTTTTTTTTTTTTTTTTTTTTTTTTTTTTTACCAGAAATGAAACCGCAAATATTTGGTGTACGGGTCAACATTCTATGGAACAACACAGCTTCCGTTTCTAAACGAAAACTGAGATAAGCAAAATGAGATAAGTGAATCTGATTGCGAACGTGTTTAAGAAGTACTGTGAAAAGTAATAAGAATATGTAGCGAAAGAAAATTTTAATTTCCAGTCGTAAATTTTGTATAAAATGTAATAGTACATCCATGTCTATGATTTATATGTCCGTGAATTTTAAAAACAGTTTAATCTTACTGAGCATTTTTATTTTTACCGTTGTAAGGAATTATAGCATTCCTTCTTTTTGTGTACCATTTTATATTGGACAGCATATTCAAAGAACAAATTGAAATATTTATAATTTGATACTCAGTAAGCAAGAGACTTTTCAATTTTTACTCTATAAAAGGCAATTATTGTTGCACACTTTTTTAACTATTAGTGTAGTCTTAATCATTGTTAAACATCAGTTAATTTTTTGTTAGTCAGTGCTATCTAATGGCTGATCAGGCGCAGGATAACAACTGGAGAGAACACTGTAATGCAGTTTCTCTGCCATTATACAAAAAGTAGCGCTTTTCATTCGACATCAGTTGTGGAGGGTTTTTGCTATAAAAAAAAAAAAAAAAAAAAAAAAAAGAAAAAAAAAAAAAAAAAAAAAGAAAAAAAACACTGCATGTATTAGTAGTTGTATACAAATTTTCGATGAAATAGTTAAATTTACAGAAAATATCAATAGAAATGTTCCTCCAGAGAATTCGAGAGCAAAATATACCGTACATTGAAGAAATTTCTTCATCACATTTCTACTTCTGTTCGACTGCCAGAGACTGTCTTAGGCAATGACTTTCAGTCACTTCTGTTATGTTCTCCCTGCTAAAAATGCCCCATAGAAACAAGTTAAACTTTTTATGGGTACCCATAAGATTTTATGGTTTCTATTGACTTTTACTGGTTCTGTTGGCTCTGTGGGTTTTTCTTACTGGTTTCAAAAATGACCCAGAAACCAGTAAAAACTTTCTACTGGTACCTGAATTTTTGATGGTCTCTACTGACTTTAATGGTTTCTATTGATCTCTGTGGGTTTTTCTACTGGTATCACTTGACCCCATACAACCAACATCAAGGGAACTTTGACTGGTTTGTATAGGTTTATTGACTTTTACTGGTTTTTACTGGTATCAATATAATAATAAATCTCTGTTGGTTTATATGGGTTTATTCTTTTTTTATCTGACGTTAATAACTCTTGTAAACCTAAAATTAACAGAATGAAAAT